TCTGAACTCTTAAATGGTATATTACTTGTCGCCCAAACATCGATTTGCTTTGATAGATTGCCTGCCATGTTTTACGATTAAGAAAAAGAAGGGTAAAAATCCTTATTATTACCACTTCCATCCAAGGTAAATTTGAGTCGACTAGCGACTCCTATGTTGAGGACCGTTATGGATCGTGCTAGACTTGAATATACATATCATATAGAATAGTAGCGAATAGCGATTGGATAAGAGTGGTGGAAAGTTAGTTTTGAGATATGGGGCAAAAGAGGAAGGGGCAGACGAGAATGATATTAAAACTTGAAGTTTCATCTTAAAAATCAACATTGTTAAAAAAAGTAATCTAAAAATTTACATATTTTTTGTTATTTAGATTTTTAATCAATGTGAAATTAGCAAATGGGAATCATAATATTTTTTTTGGTGTTTCACTTTTTTTTTTAATGTTTATTTTTTGCTTATATAAACTAATGGACACAACTTTCATTTTTTCAAACATAATGAATTTTGTCTATTTCCATCCAAGTGTTCTTAAAATTAAAGTTTCGAAGATAGAGAAAAAAATTATATGTTCTTTGATAATTATACCAGTTTAGCTAGACTATATTCATCCAAGTCTAAGATCATTTCATTCCATTTACAATGCCATACATTTTTCGTAATGTTAAGTTAGACTACTGTTCATTATCACCGGCATTAGACCATCACCAAGAAAATATATAAATAAAATATTTTATATTTTAAAAAATTAATGATTAAAATAAATTTCAAGAGATTTTCTATTTAAAAAAGTATTAGTTCTCTGAATTTGAAAAGTCACACACACTCTCTACACTTACTTTATAATAGATGTATTTAATAAACATTTCAATACTTCTTAAATTATTCGAATTGATTGACCAAATACATGTAAAAAATATAGTTAAATAAAAGATGAAAATAAATTAAAAAAATGTTTATTAAAAAAATAAAATAAAGAGTCAAAATAAAGAACATTGTTAAAAAAATAATACTATTTATCATGATAATGATGAAACATATGTGATGTGATAACCCATTATTCAATCACATTATTGCACATAAACTGTCACATCACTAATGTTTCATTATCATAATGATAAATAGCATAACAAGTGTATGAATAAAATTAAAATCTCTAAACTTAACTATGCTTTCTATTATACATAAAATATTATTTATAAATAGAAAAAATCTTAGGGTCCGTGTGATAGGCAAATGTGGAAATGAATTTCAATTCCATGTAAGTTGGAAAATAAAAATCTATAAAAATCCATATGAATTCGTTTTCTATGAAAACAAAGAAAATACAGTTTAAAATGGTTGTCCCTTGAAATTCGATTTCTATTTCCACTTTACAATCAAACANCGATTTCCATTTTCACGTTGCAATCAAACGGTCAAAGAGGAATTCGTTTTCCTCGGATGTGACATTTTTCATAAAATTCATTGCAATCAAATAGAGCCTTAGATATGTTCTTACTCTTGTTTAACCAAAAATAATAATGTTATTATAATTAAGAGAAATCATCGCAAACAACTAATGATAAAAAATAAGGAATACGTTCTAACCTAACTAAGCAAATCTTCAACTAAAGAAGCAAAGATGCAATATCACCTTATTACCCTCTCGAAAAATAAAGCAACAAGAACCACAACGACACTCGGTAACAATTCAGCAATATTAAAAACCTCATTTGGAAGGAAAATATTCCACTCCTGATGTAAGAAGTGTCATTGTTTAATTGACACATGTATTAAATAATTGAAACCTACTAATTACTTGGACTTCGTACATTAAGGAGTAATGCACATACCAATTAAATAGTGATAAAGGTACTGAATCCCATATTTTGAGAAGAATAATGTTATTTGTACAGGGTTAATTTCACAAACGGTCACTGAAATTATGTCAAAATCACAAAACGGTCACTGAAGTGTCATCCCATTTCAATAATGGTCACTGAAGGACCTTTTTCATTTTAATTAGAACTTAATGGACCAAAATAGTTGAAGCCATCAATCCTTAAGGACCTAAATTGCAAATTTGACAATAAAACCCTCAAAAACCATTTCTTTTTGTGAAATTAACCTATGTATGGTGAATTTTATTTCTTTTTGTAAAAAGAGAGAGGGACAGTGAGAAAAAGGAAATAAAAAAAATAAAAAAAATCAATAAAATTATATATGAATTCTTGAAAATATATTAACAAAATAATATAAAACTATAACTTCAACTTAAAATAAATAATAAATTCATTCAAGATGCAAAATAATACATAATATTAAATAACATTTTACTTCTTCTTTTTAGTTCATTGAATGTAACCAGGGGCGGATCCAAGGGGGCCTGGCCCCCCTCCCATTTTTGACCAATTTTTTTTTTTAATTTTTTTTTCTTTGTAATTACCACTTTCAACTCTTTTTTCACATCGAAAACATTGGAATTTGGATATGGTTATTTCTAGAAGAATTGTAGCCCTTCGAGTTAACTTTCCAACAGAATTTAAATCATCACAATTGGATATCGGTAGATAAATTTATGATGAAAATATTGACGACTGCTCAACCCTCGCTCGACTTTCGCTAGAGACTCGCTCGAGCGACCAATGCAGTAACTTTTCCCCCGAGTTTCGCCCGATTATAATATAGTTATATAACGTTATCAAAGGATGATTTTACTAAATTAAATATTAGTACTTTCTTTTATACGTTTTTTGATTTTTTTGTTAATAATGTATCCAAAAAAAATTTCTGGGGCACTACCCCCAACCCCTGTGGGCCCCCACCACTTCAAATCTACCTCTAGGCTCCACTACGTTCAAAGTCTAGCTCCGCCCCTGACCGTAACTCATTATAACAACTTATAATTTCTATTTGTACATTTAGTAATGTTAAAATTCAAAGGAAGTTTTTGCTATATTTTTCAACATATTATTAATTTATTAGAATATATTTTATATTTTTCCAATTTTAGTTTAAGTCATTGTTTTGTAAATGTATAAATTGTTTATAAAGAGAACAATAAGAAGAATATAATAGGTTTCACGAAATGTGTGGATAATAAAAAATAATTTTTAAATGAATAGTTAAAATTTTTAATTGAATACCATTTATAAATTTATATCCAATTGGAGGCTAAAAAAATAAATATAAATTTGTCAAATTTGCAATTTAGGTCCTCAATGTTCAAACTTCAACTATTTTGATCCATTAAGTTCCAATTAAAATGAAAAAAAGTCATTCAGTGACCATTACTGAAACCGGATGATACTTCATTGACTGTTAGTACAAGTTTTAAATTTTAATGACCGTTTTGTGATTTTGACGTAACTTCAGTTACGGTTTGTGAAATTAACACTATTTGTACATCATGATTTATATAAAAATAGTGATATTCATCACCTCTTATTCTTAACATCATTTAATAAATCAAATTAAATGAATCTCATAACACATTTAATTAAACTTATCATTTAACGTCACCTAAACTGATGCTAAATAGCATTATTCTTTACACAATGATGATATGAATTCTATTAACTAAAATTTTTTCCTTCTCTATTTTTTTTCTCTTTCATGTCATTATTTTGTGTATCAATCTGTAATCCATGATACATAAATAGCATTACTCTTTTGAAAATATTAGAAAGCAAAATTAGAAGCTACTATGCACGGAAATACAATTATTCATTATGTGCAGAAATCTCAACTGCACAAGAAACTCCTTCCCTCTCCGGTCAGTGTCATATTAATTGTGCTACATCACATTATGTCATAAAGATAAGTATTCATTATTACAAAGATATTAGAATATTATTTTATTTTTAAAATATATAAACGTCTCCACACCAACATTGTTCATTCCATTTAAAAAGTAAGATACCATGTCTAAATTTTTGTTAGTCAGATTAACGGACATAAACATAGTGACATGGTTGTAACACACAGCAAAGTGGCCTACTTTGGACAATGAAATTTAGCCCCCGTTTGGCTCAAAATCAATTTTTAACCGAATTTGATGAATAATTAATACAATGCATGATTGATAAATTGATACAAATTATTGATCCCATAAAATCTGTAAATTGAATATGAGCTTGGAAAAAATATATTTTAAAAAATTGAGGCCAAATAGGGACTTAATCGTCCAAATAAAATTTCACTACACGTCCAGTGACCCGATACTCCAAATTACTTGAATCACAAGGAAGAATTCCATATATTGGAAAAATCAGCACATTTTTCATGGGTATATAGAAAAACTATGATGAAGTAAGAACCCTTTTCAAGAAAACGAAGAAGATTGGGAGAAAATAAAAAGAATCTAAGAACATGCAGAGGTGAAAAAGGGATTTTCTTGGGGATGAAAAAGAGTGTTCTAATAGGGTCAAATATTGACGTTTTATACCTCAATGGGCAGTGGGGCATTCGTTTGCTACAAGGACAAGGCTGATGAATCACTAGTTTAGTAATATCTGCATTTAAGAACTATCCACCCCTTAGTTAGCAGCCACAACTGTTTCAAAAAGTTCTCCAACCACCTATGATAGACGCTCAATACGCAGTACTGGACAAGGCAGAATAATATAATAGAAAAGATTGACTTCTATTTCTTCATTGACACAATATATGTTGTACTATCCACCTTACCAAATAAGTCATGATAGGGTAATAAAATAGTGTAGCTTTCTCATCTATTCCCATTTAGAGGAATGGATACTCCCGCCACAACATAGCTGTATAAAACCACAAACCCTACAGTTTCTAAGTCCAATAACAACACATAACGAGGTGTATGACTTTGCAAAAAGACTAAAATACATGAGCATTTATAGAACAATTTTCAACAGCCATAATTCAAATGCGTCCTCCCCCAAACTCCTCTTTCCAAGCACCAAAATGGAAGTTGCACATCAACTTTCGATATATTATCATTGGAGGAATAATTAAACTATACATGCATGAAAAGTTGAAAACTACTATGATGTATCATTAACAGGATTATCATTTGTCCGTCTACCAGATATGACTCTATCAAGAGTTTCATCAGATACCTTAATTCCACTCGTCTCCAAGTCTGTCACTATGGCAATAGCTGCATCAAGTTCCCCAATATCCAAACACAGACTGATAATTTCGTCATACAACGGGCTGCAATAAATGTACAATTAGCAACAAGTAATCTGCTAGAAAAAAATTTCAATATATAAAAATAATAATAATAATAATAACCATGTGTTAGTTAGGACACAGTTTCAACCAAGAGTCTAGCAAATCGTCAAGTTAAAATGATTGCAAGTAAATAGGGCTTAATAAAGGGGAAAAAAAGGGAGAGAGGCTTTACTAATCTTCCCATAAAAGATTAGTCCTCTTCATAATTCACTTCATTTTCTCAAAAGTGTTTTCCCTTAATTATTTTCTTAGGAAGTTATCTTATAAGTTCATGTGTTGCATATATAATATATCTAGGGTAAAACACAACATAAAAAATGATACAAATTCACAGTTACTAGGAGATTGGTCCTATAAACAATAAGATAGAAGATTCATATCTACTTATGTAATTATCTAGCAAGGTCCAAATTTTTAGATACATGACATTTAGGCCAAGAAAATTTAGGTTAGGAGAAATCTGGAGTCATATTCAGATCAGGGTTTCTTATGATGCCGATTCACATTCTTGTTTAATTGACATTTATAGAAGATTTCCTCCTAAATAGAAGAAATGTTCTTTTGCATCAAAAAGGTACTATGAATGACATTTTTAAAACAATACAGAGAACTATCTTCCTAAATACAGGAGCATTGATTTCCATCTACCAACCTATTTTTCCTTTTCTATTTCTGGTAGAGTGCTGTCAAAGGCTTAAAAAAATAAAGAAGTTAAATTCCACCAAAACCGTTATCTCACCTGCCAAACACATAACCAAGACGATGTGTTGTCTGTAAAATTTGTAAGAAGGCTGAAGGCATAGGAGCTCGTATAGCAGCTCGAAGTACCATAGCACAGTCACCAATGGTTGGTGTTCCACCCAATTCAATTACCTGAAATATCACCCAATAATTTGCTCACTTCTTAAGTCAGAATGACAAGAAAGCAGTCTACAGTACAGCTGAATGCAATGTCAAATAAAATTAATACTTCACATTGTTAAAGTCAAATGAGATGGATAAAAGAAAATCAGAAGGTTATCATCATTTCCTTAGAAAAAGAACACCTCATATGAAATTGCCTCACATATGAAAGATCCCAGATCCTTGATCTAGCATTTTTATAATGCAAGCATTCTAGACAAGTATCCATAAATATTTTCAAATGCCATTGTCATTAACATAAGACGATCAAATAGAAGTCATTATCAGTAATCAATGATTTGCAAACACTTAGTAGTGTACTTGGAGGTGTGATTCATTAATGAGGCTCCAATTGTCTGAGTTCCTGATAAATACCATGTGTAAGAATATGAATATATGATACAACCTTTGTGTTTCTATCATAAAAAACAACTGGACACAAACACAATCTGGACGTTTATATATGAGTGTGACACTCAGAGAGAGAGAGAGAGAGAGAGAGTTGCTCTTCTTTATATTGATTTTGATTCTTTTGATTCCTTTATGCAATTTTAGCAAAAGGGAGAGAGACAAAAATCTTAGAAAAAGTTAGAATTCCACAAAATGCAAGCAATTATCACCTTAAAAACAACGAGGAATTTAACAAAAATAGGCCTTTGGGCATGAAAAAAGAGACACTCTTCTTGCATTATGAAACATAAGGCCTTATGTGCCTAGTCAGCAATTTAATAACTTATACAGCCTTCACAGTAGAGAATCTATCAAAACAAAAACCACTGCAAGCTACACCAAATCCATTTTCATTTCAGCTGCACCAAGCCTCTAATAACTCCTTCCTTTTGTTAATAATATTTTAGGTTTACCATTATGAGTAATGAAGATTTACTGAAATAAAAAATGGTGGGAAACTGAAGTTTCTTGTCGGTTACTCAGATTTCAAATCTCTTAAACATCCGCCTATTTTTATTTCTGACATATGAAACCTCTTTTACTTCACTAAACATGATATGGACAGTGCAAGACATTTGCAATGATTTTAGATGCCAGGAACTTAGTTTACACATCTAAACTCGACATTCAATCAACATTTAGGTGTACAACTTTCTCAATAAAGTCTGAATTTGACTCCTGGTATGGCTTAAGAATAGTGTTCATGCGAACTATCACAAAAATCTGGTTCAAGTTCCTTTACTTGACCTCACTCTTCAAACACAACCTGGTCAAGTCTATTTTACTTCAAAATTTGAACGTCCACCCGACTCTAATTCAACAAACTCAACTAGGCTCTAGTCTATACCCGAGGATAAAGTATTTCTTCACTTGACCATCAGTCTGATAGCAGAACAGGTGTCAAGTGTTCACTCTCCAGTGAAAAATAGGAACTTGCCAAAAAATTGTTCAAATCTTATAATTTCTCATGACCACCAACAATGGACGCATACAATTAACCACATATCTAGCCAAGTTTAATTTTACAACCACTGTACCATTTCCCTCGAAACATAAAAAATTACTACAAATGAAACAAAATTTATAAGAAATTAGAAGTAGAATGAACAACAATGTATTTGCTCTTAGAGCAGGTTCAATTAGAGGGAAAAAGCATAAATCATTTCATAGATTCACATTGAAAGAAAATATTAGGAGAAGAGAAGAAAAATGAAAAGGGAAACATGCTGTCCCTTTTCAATAAGAGTGATTGCAACGTTTCACAAGCCACAACATAACTAAAGAGCCTCTAACAAGAGTTGCATTTTGGACGTCAAAAAGAAGCTACAAAAAAAAATCTTGAAAACAATCTAATTGCCACAAACAGGCACAACTTTTTTTGACAGTGTAGCTCGGATATATGGTATCACATTATGGACATACAATTTTAAGAATGTTAGTTGCATGACGATTCGATTGATCTTCTGCTTACTCTTGTACATTTTGGTCAAGATGACCAACAAACACCTGTGACTGAACTAACTGTTAAGCTCCCACGAACAAACCATCAATTGCAAATTCAATCGACACGAGATGTTTCTGAATAAATTCCCAGTAAGTTCGATTGTGGAAAAAGAAAAATGATAAACAATCATCTATGATTCATGGAATGAAAATATAGGTAATTATTGCGAAAGGAAACAAAGGTCAAGATGTGAACTGGAAAAGCAATGGCAATTACTTAACAAAATCCCTTGTATAAAATTGGGAAACCAAATTAACAAGGGAGGAGAGACAGCAAACGAGACGTGATTTACCTTTGTCATTAATTTAACAGCCAATTCGACTTCCCACTCCTGTGACCATCTCCGAGGGGCTTTGTTCTTCAAGTCCTTTTCCCATGTCCAACCCCAAGCATCAGCTATTGTGTACATATCTGATACATCAAAGACTTTCCTGTTCCTCAGCTCCTTAAAAGCTTCATGAATATCCTCAGGAAACCAGTCATCATCAGCATCATCCTGTATTCATATAATTATATTAGCTATCTTTGACCCAATCTTTTTATTATTATTATTAATAATTTTTTTTTTTTAGGGACATCTTTGATCCAATCTGAGGAACTTGACTTTATATTCGAGATTGGACAAGGCAAAGATCGTAGCAGTCTTATTTCCAGTTGGAATTGGCAACACAATGAAGTTCATAATCAATCACATCAACTAGTGTAAGATGAGCAACTCTTACTGTCTCTTCAGTTTGGATAAAAAAATCCCTTGTACAGTGATGGTCCATGTCATGATCCTAGCACTAAAGTCGCTATATTTTTAAAATTATTTAAAAAAAAAAAAACAGCCAACAAACTGCTTATAAAATGTAAATGGTTATAATGTAATTAGGAAACTTCAGTGACTTCAAATTGTAGTTGCTTTTTGTAGAATTAAAAGGGTTAATTTTGTAGAGCTAATCCCAGTGATCATGTAATTATATTTTAGCTATATTTAGTTTCCAATTTTTCTGTGATTTGGTTAGATAGGTAAGACATATTAGTTTCCTAAATTAGTGGCTAGAATTAAAGAATGTAAATCAACATATGATTTCTCTTCCTGTATGTGTATATATTCAGCATTCTCTATGATTAATAAATAAGTTATTTCACCATCTTTTCTTGTATGGTATCAGAGCCGCCCCTGAAACCCTAAATCTGAGATGGCCTCCAGAAAAGATTCCTCATCTGATGTAACCTCTGCTGCAGAGGACGTCGTCTCTACCTTTCATGGAAATTCCGAACATTCCATCATTCCCATCACTGGGCATAAACTCAATGGGCAGAACTATCTCCAGTGGTCCCAATCGACCATGATGTATATCATCGGCAAAGGGAAAGATGACTATCTCATAGGAACTGCAAAGCCACCATCCAGGCTGATCCCAAATTCAAGAGGTGGAAATCTGAAAATTATATGGTCATGTCCTCGCTAATCAACACAATGGATGTCGAGATTGGCCAAACTTCATGTTCTATTCAACAGCAAAAGAAATCTGGGATAGTGTGAAAGAAACCTATTCAGACAATGAAAATACCTCTGAACTTTCTGAAATCAAAGGAACTCTCCATAATCTTCGACAAAGTGATAATTATGTGACTCATTACTTCAACCTCCTCACTCGATATTGGCAGCAACTTGACATGTTTGAAGATATCTCGTGGGAGTGTCCTCAAGACAGAAAGAAATACCGCACTATTGTGGAGAAAGAAAGAATTTCTAAGTTCTTACTTGGCCTAAACAAAGATCATGATGAAGTAAGAGGAAGAATTTTGGGAAACAAACTTTTGCCTTATCTCCGTAAATCATTCTCAAAGGTCAAAAGAGAAGAAAGTAGAAGGAAGGTCATGATAGGAACTCAAGTGATCACTGTCCCAACTGAAAGCTCTGCCCTTACCTCTCATGGAAAAAACAATCAAGGAAGTGACAATCACCCTCACAAAGGAAGACCATGGTGTGATTACTGTCATCAACCTGGACACCTTCGGGGAAAGTGCTGGAAACTCCATGGTAAACCCACTGATTGGAAACCAAACAGGTTGAATTCTAACCGTAAAAGTCGTGGCTTCTCTGCCACCGCTGATGACCAGTCTGTGCCTGAATCCTCAATATTCAGCAAAGAACAACTTGATCTCCTTCAAAAAAATTTCAACCAAACACAAGTGAGTACGAATGTCATCGGATTGGGTTCCATAGTCCAGAAGGGTACGTTTTCAAGCGCTTTTAACAGCAAAGCTGAGAAAAACAGTCCTTAGATAATTGACTCAGGGGCCTTCGATCATATGACTGGTGATGCCTCCTTATTCCACTCTTACTTACCATGTTCTGGAAATCATACAGTGCGCATTGCAGATGGTTCCTTATCCACAGTTTCCGGAATTGGAACCATTATTATTTCTAAACACATTGTTCTTAGTTCTGTCCTATTGGTTCCAAAGCTATCTTGCAACCTGTTATCAATTGACAAACTCATAAAAGATCTTAATTGTATTGCTAAATTCTTTACTACTTATTGCATATTTCAGGAATGGGACTCGGGGAGGATGATTGGCAATGCTGAGGAGTGTGCGGGCCTCTATCTCTTCAAGTTAAGGCGAGGCTACTGGATTTCAAACTACTACACTAGCCTAGTGAGTCAATCCAATAAGAATTCTATGTCTGTTCTTGTTTCGACCCATGACAATAATAGTGCAATCATGTTGTCGCACTTCAGATTAGGTCATCCCAATTTTATGTATCTGTCAAAGTTGTTTCCATAATTATTTATTAATAAAAATCCAAGTTTATTCCAGTGTGAAATATGCCAATTTGCTAAACATGTAAGAAGTTCATTTCCAGCACATAAATATCAACCTTCATATCCATTTTCGATTATACACAGTGACATTTGGGGTGCTTCTCGAGTTAAAAATATTTCTGGAGCACGATGGTTCATCTCTTTTGTTGATGATCATAGTAGAGTCACTTGGGTATTTTTGATGAAAGAAAAATCCGAGGCTAGTCAAATTTACAAGAAATTTCACTTCATGATTAAAAATCAATTCCAAGCCAATATTCAAATTTTGAGAATTGACAATGCTAAAGAGTACTTCAACTCCATCCTTGGTACTTTTCTTACTGAGAAGGGCATAATCCATCAAAGCTCATGCATTGATACCCCACAGCAAAATGGGAGAGCTGAACATAAAAATCGTCACTTACTAGAAGTTGCCCATGCTCTTATGTTCACATCTAATCTTCCAAAGCATTTTTGGGGAGATGCTATACTTACCGCTGCATATTTAATTAATCGAATGCCCTCTCGTGTCCTCCAATTCTACACTCCGAGTCAAATTCTCACCAAAGCATACCCATCCACACAGCAAATCTCCAAGTTACCACTAAAGGTTTTTGGGTGCTCAGCGTTTGTTCATGTTCCACCACATCTTCCCAGTAAACTTGATCCAAAGGCCATTAAATGTGTATTTCTTGGGTATTCCCCTACTCAAAAAGGGTACAAATGTTACTCTCCCGAAACAAAAAAATTCTTTACCACTATGGATGTAACATTCTTTGAAAATCAATCTTTCTACCCCAAAACTCATATTTAGGGAGAGAATTTTGACATTAGAAGAGCAGATGAATATCAGTTTTGGGACCTACAACCTATCCTAGATACGGCAATACCACCTGATCTGGTTACATCCATATCACCTGAGCCACCCTCTCCTCCCTCTCTTCAGTTTTCAATTAACTTGTCATCAAATCCCCTACTCTAAGTGCAGGTGGAAAAGGCAAGGAGCTCCAAGTTTACTCCAGAAGGTCAAAAACTGACAAGGAGATAGAGAATCAAACTCTTCCCGAGCATGGCCAAACATCTACTCCAAGTTCTGACCCTGCGGATTCAGGTAACATCGAAAATTCATCTGATACTATTTCCTTATCATATGATAATCTTGAGGTTCCCATTGCACAAAGGAAAGGAGTCAGGTCTTGTACTCGACACCCCATATCCAATTTCGTGTCATACAACAATCTTTCACTTGTATATCATGCCTTCATTTCTAATCTATCACTTATAAAGATTCCAAATAGTGTTCAAGAGGCCATGAAATGTCAAAAATGGAAAAAAGCCATAAATGAAGAGATGCGGGCTCTCAACAAAAATGGCACATGGGTTCTCACAGAACTTCCAAAAGGAAAAAGACTGGTCGGTTGCAAATGGATCTTCAATGTAAAATACAATGCAGATGGAAGCTAAGGCAGATACAAGGCCAGGTTAGTAGCGAAAGGCTACACCCAAACATATGGAATCAATTATCAAGAGACATTTGCCCATGTTACCAACCTAAATACAGTTCGGGTCCTCTTATCTTTTGCCTCAAACTTAAACTGACCACTTCATCAACTAGACATCAAGAATGCCTTCCCGAATGGGGACCTAGAAGAAGAAGTCTATATGGAGATTCCACCAGGGTTTGAACGGAAAGAAAATTCCAACCTAGTGTGTAAATTGAAGAAATCATTGTATGGATTGAAACAATCACCAAGAGCATGATTTGAACAGTTCACGAGAGTTGTGAAGAAATATGGTTACTCACAGGGACAATCTGACCATACTCTCTTTATCAAACACTTACCTGATGGGAAGCTCACTCTTCTCATTGTATACGTGGACGACATCATTGTCACAGGGAACAATTATGACGAGATGAGTCAGTTAAAGTCTATTATTGCATCAGAATTTGAGATTAAGGATCTCGGAAATCTAAAATACTTTCTTGGCATCGAAGTGGCCCGCTCAAGCAAGGGAATAACTATTTCCCAAAGGAAATACACCATTGACCTGCTTACGAAGACAGGTATGCTCGGTTGTAAACCGGCGAATACTCCTATGGACTCAATGCATAAGATTGGAATGAAGGAAGGTAGTGCTCCAGTTGACAAAGGAAGATATCAACGACTGGTGGGAAGACTAATTTATTTATCTCACACCAGACCTGATATCGGATTCTCCATGAGTGTTGTTAGCCAATTCATGAATAATCCTACCGAGGAACATATGGAAGCTGTATACCGAATACTCAAATATTTGAAAATGATACCAAGCAAGAACTATTCTTTAAAAAAGGGAACAACAAAGGCATTGAAGTATACTCGGACGCAGACTGGGCAAGGTCCATAACTGATCGTCGATCTACTTCTGGTTATTGCACCTATGTATGGGGAAATTTAGTCACTTGGCGAAGCAAAAAACAATCTGTAATAGCTAGGAGCAGTGCAGAAGCGGAATTTCGAACTATGGCCCTTAGCATATGCGAGGTCATATGGCTAAAAAGACTCCTAGATGAACTAAAAATCTCATGTGATGACTCAATTAAAATGTATTGTGATAATCTAGCTGCCATCAGCATAGCAAAAAATACAGTTCATGACTGAACAAAACACGTGGAGATTGACACATTTTATCAAGGAGAAACTAGAAGAGGGAATCATCAAGATGATCTATACTCCACATCTTCAGACTGCAGATATTCTTACAAAGGCCCGTCCAAGAATCAACTTCGATCATCTAGTTTCCAAGCTGGGAATGATCAATATCTATTGCTCATCTTGAGAGGGAGTGTAGAATTAAAAGGGTTAATTTTGTAGGGCTAATCCCAGTGATCATGTAATTATATTTAGCTATATTTAGTTTCCAATTTTTATGTGATTTGGTTAGATAGGTTAGACATATTAGTTTCCTAAATTAGTGGCTAGAATTAAGGAATGTAAATCAACATGTGATTTCTCTTCCAGTACGTGTATATATTCAGCATTCTCTATGTTAATAAATAAGTTATTTCACCATCTTTTCCTGTACTTTTCAATAATCATAGATGAGGCATAATTTTGTTTCAAAATGCACTGGGATCCTAAATATATGCTGCTAAAATTCACCAACCAAATGATGTTTGGTCAAGGAATTGATTAAAAAAACATGCACAGTTTTCACCAATTCCTAAGGTACTGGGTTCAATGTCTGGTTAAAAGAGCTGCAACAATGTTTCGTGAAAAAACAAGCAAACGCAATTTTGTATAAAATTGTCATTTCTACTTAGTTGTCCACATGGGAGAAAGGACACTAGACTTTCTCAAAAACCTCATCTGGTTGCCTGTATTTTTTGAACTCCTTATCTCAAAATCCTAAGAATTTAGGGAATTTAATAAATACAGAGATCAAGCGACTCCGTACACAAATCTGACTATCACCATCACAAAAGTAAAATATTATGATTAAAGCATAAACTTTAACTTGTATCAAGTAGGTAGAAACTAGAAACAATGATAGAAGACCACAAGCTTTTATACCTCCACTGATACCCGAGAAACCCTTCTCCTTGATTTTCTTGATGAGCCAGTAGTCTGGTCAGAGTCTTTCAATAATTGCACTCCAATCATTTGAGGAGGTTTAGCAGCTTCAACTTCCTTATCTTTCACTCTCTCATCTGCTTGGGTTTCAGTTTGTTCCACTTCTTCCTCCTCATTGGCCTCGTCATCTTCAACCTCATTTGCAACATCATCACCAACATCTGCATCATCAGAGATATCAGCAATTTCAAATTCTTCTACTTCTATTGATTTGCTATGACTTTCATTTAAGCCCTCTCCAAGAAAACGACGTCTCCAGAACTCTGTATTTCCTTCTTCCAACTTGATTCGTGATATTATTTCATCCAACTCTCCGTCAACCTGACAGGTCAATAATTTTATTATCAACTACAGAACAAAGAATTTTAGTAGACGTATATAGTCAAGGAACATACTGTGCATAATATAGCATAATTGAAGCGTCTAATCAAAAGAAATAAATGTTAGTGAAAATGAAAACGACTAGGAAAGGGAAAATATGATTTCAAGAATGACCTCTTCTTCCTCTTCTTCAACAGGAGGAACCCAGAGGGGCCGACCTCTAGAACGATTTATTCTCCTCGCTTTTTGTACACGCTGGTAGAGCACATTTCTAGTACCATCAGTTGGCAGACCTTGAGCTTCCAGCTCTTCCTTTAGCTCTGACACTATCATTTTACTAGCAGCTTTCGGTTTTAAGGCATTCTGTTCAGGACCTTTAATAATTTTCTTTAATCTCTCCACGACTCTGATGTAGTCAGATTCAGACACATTCCCTAATATTGAAGGTCCTTCATTGCGTAAAGTTTTCAAAAGCTTCCGATGATGTATTTTCCATTCTTCTAGACATCTTTGTTTGAAAGAGGTTTCCATAGGGCTGGAGTATACGAAACCATCAGTATCAGGATCCAGAGGAGTTTTTCCTCTACGTGGAACCCATCTCTTACGTTCACCTGTGAGCCCACCTTCCTCGATGTACCTAGTTTGTAGCCAAATCAGCAACAGTCTCTTAAAAAAGTTAAAATTGAATTATATTTTCTTGATTTTGTTATTTCATTCAAGTGACGTGGAAATTAAAAGCACACCATACCAATGTTCAATAAACAAGGAAAAATTGAGAAACTTCAAACAATGAAAATCATCAGAGAGACGGTGCATTGTGATAACGTAGCAAAAGAACTTTGAGAGCATCACCAGAACAGCTTTACAAAATTACCCTTTTCAAAGAAATTTCTCCACGAAACATTTGAACATGCTAGTGAAGAAATGGAACTTTTTTTTTTTTTGATAAGTGATATGAAAATTTTATTCATCAAAAGATAATACATGGGGAATGTATTATCAGTTTAGACAACACATAAACGACATGAAATTAGGCAACTGATCTACATGATTAGGAGTTACAGTATTAAACCAACGAAACAAGGTTAGATAAAATAATTCTCTGAACTGCTCTTTTGTTCTAATCTTGTCGTCAAAACAGCGGCTGTTC